TTCTTAGAGACACTGAAATGTTAGATTGTCATTCGGCATCTACACCTTTTCCCAAAGATTTCAAGTTCCTTGCTAAGAATCCCAGTCCTGCTTTCTCTGATCCTGCTAATTATCGTAGGCTGGTTGGTTGACTTCTTTACCTGAATTTTACTAGGCTAGATATAGCTTACGCTGTCCAGCAGTTAAGTCAGTTTGTCCAGGCTCCTTTGCAGTCCCACTGGCAAGCCGCTACTCATTGCTTCGATATTCAGCTGGTTGTCCTTCTAAGGTGCTGTATTATCCTAGTTCTACTTCTTTGCAGCCCCAGGATTACAGTGATGCCGACTGGGGCAGCTGTCCATTTACTTGACGATCTTTGACTGGTTATTTTAGCTCTTCTCATCAGATTGCGGATCTTCTTACCAAGTCTCTTCCCTCACCTCACTTTGATGTTCTACTTGGCAAGATGGGCTTGTCCCAAGCTCATCTTGAGGAGGGCATGTTGAATAAAGTGCCAGTTCATGAAGCTAATCAAGTTTATCATGTGTTAGAATTCAGGATTAGTTGATTGTAAAAGTTTTGTAATGAATTATTTATATTGTAATTAGTTACGGACTCGACTGTAAATACATGCTCAGTATAGTTGACTAGTCAGCTTTAGCTAGTATATATACTCATGTACAGAACACACTACGTATTAAGTCGGTTGAATTCTAGTTAACAAATTTCTCCCAAACTCAAACCCTAAATCAATTTTGTTTTCTTCGCGAGACTCTGTACTCTTCGTCAAGCTCTCATTCAATCTGCAAACAAATTAAGTATAATATATCAAACTGAGAAGATTGAAAAGACTCTGTACATAAACACGTCACAAATTTGTGTGTCAAAATAAAATTCTAACTTAAAATAATCTCAATGAATAGACTTCTTATTTTGGACGGAGATTATAAAATAATGTAAAGTATACACATTACGCAATAATAAGAATGTACATGTAGATCCAATTACGAGCCACTTTATGGGGGAAAAAAAAAGATACTCTATCAACATTGATACCTTATACAGTGACAGAAATGAAAGAGATGTGGGACCGTGAAGTTTGAGTGAATTTGTTTGTTGTATAGCTGTCCGTGAAGATGGTGTGTAATTGTGTTTGTTTGCTATATCCTATATAGGCGTTTTCACGTTACATTAATTGTTTTATATACTAGTAGAATCACTGATAACCCCCCGTAAGCGTAAAAGAGGATTTTGTGAACTTGATTCGCTTTCATTTACCTTACCTTCATGAAGTGTACCACTTATATGCATCAAATATGTATCTACTCTTTTATCAAAACGTGCATGCCTCGTTACATACAGAGAGTGAGGGAAAACATCTTCCCTTTCTCTCTCTACCCTTTTTTCTCTACCTTCTCTCTACTTCTCCTCCTAAAAATTTTCTTTTCTTCTCCCTCATCCACCTTTAATGGTGGATGGGGGAGGTCCAAATTTTTTTCATTGTTGTTACTTTCTTGGTAGTCTCCTTTATTACAGAAGCCCATGGGTTCCACCTCAAAACCAATTGGCTCTGATACCAAGAAAAAAATTGGTATTTATTTAGAAAAATAAAAGCAGAGAATGAACTAATAGAGTGAAGGACTACATTTCTATTTCCCTAATGAATAAAATACATCAGATGCCTTTTTATAGGCTTAGTTTACAAATATGATAATCATGCAAACTAATTAATTTTTATTTAAGTGATAAATATAAATAGTTGATCAGTAGAAGTAATCAACTAGATTGAAACTAATCTAAAACTTCTATCTCTTCTGTACTTTATCTTTTAACATTCACCCGCAAACTGAGTCGGGACTGAAAGTACTGAGGGCTGAAGGCGCAGTTTGTTGTAGAATATAGCGCACTGGATGTATTGCTTGAAACTTAATTCTGAGCTCGTTGTGAATGTCTCATATTATGGATCTGGATCCAGACTTGTGAAACTGCAATAAAATAAAAAAAAGAATTGTGATAGATTACCAATGTCACACAATCTTGTTTTGAAAGTGTGAACGTGATATCCAATGACCATGTTGCCATTTTTGTGGGGATGTGTGCGTTTTCTTAATAATTCTCAGAAAAATATGTGTACTTCATTTTTGAGTACTTTCCGGAGAAATATGTGTGTAAAAAATAATGATAAGTCCAAGAGATTTTCTCGGACTTTTGTCATGATTGAAATTTTTTTGAATGGATCTAGATGAGACTCTTTTTTTTTTTGTGGTGATGAATGAAATTTGAGGATGAACAAATGGTTGAGTTGTGAGTTGATGAATATGTCCTTGGCTCTGTGCGACAATCTCTCCAGGCAATGAATGATTGATTGGAGAGAGTTTTAAAATGATAAAATTTTAAATATCTATGAAGAGAAATGCAGAAATCATGATTGATAGATAGATATGTGGAAGCAAAAAAGAAAATAATGAAAAAAATCCAGACGCAGGATAGAACCTGCTCTGATACTAAGAAGAAAATAAGAAACTGATAAAAATAAATAACGAGAAAGAAACTGTAGGGGAATATTTCTGGAAACTACATTGTGACTGACTGATTTCAAAATAAAGGGTAAACACCATATTTATAGACATGTCTACACTATTGGATAAAAACTATTATTGATGATAAAACTTTTCGTAATAATTAATTAATTAGTTCTATCACTAAAGTAGATTTCTATCACTAAAATAGATACTAACTCCACTACTTGATGATTATCTTTAATACTCTATGTAGGAGTTTTTGCCCACCCTTTTTGGGTGATTTATTTCTTCCGATCTGGAAGTTTAGCCCTCTTTCATACAGGTTTCTTTATTTTAGGTTTTTAGATGTAGGATTCCAGCAGATCTGGTGAAGAAGATGAAGATCTGAAGGAAGAAGAGTCAAGGAAGGAAAAGACTGCTGCAGATCTGAAGTTACCAGTCTGTTTGAAGACCATGGATGGCAAGGGAGTGCGAGTTTCTGACTTGGGGTAGTTTTTAGGTCAATCGTTTCTGTAATTTTCTTATAGATCTTCTTTCAATTTTTTCTCTTTGTTAATCAGAGTTGCTGGTTTTTTTTTCTTCTTCTTTGATCTTCTTAGATCTGATATCTACAGATATCTATGACAGATATATAGTTCAACCATAGGTTGTGGTGCTTACCACTGTTTATGGTTGTAACTGCTTCGGGGTAACTATTTGGTTATCCCTATTTATGGAATATTATTATCGTTCGGACAAAAAAAAAACAAAAAGTTACATACAGAGTAGTGATACATGCAAAAAGAATTTCACAAAACCATTGAGTTGGTATAAGCTACAAAAAAATGTGGAGAATGAAATTTTTGTCTGTGGATGTTGTGTTATTTTAGTTGTTTTTATATCGTAAATATTAAAGATAATCATCAAGTAGTGGAGTTAGGATCTATTTTAGTGATAGGAATCTAGTTTAGTGATAGAATTAATTTATTCTTTATCACAAATAGTTTTTATCCAGTAGTGTAGACATGCCTATAAATATGGTGTCTACCCTTTATTTTGAAATCAATCAGTCACAATGTAGTTTCCAGAAAATATTTCCCTTTAGTTTCTTTCTCTTTATTTATTTTCATCAGTTTCTTATTTTCTTATTGGTATCAGATTCTTTCCTGCTTCTGCTTACTTTTTTTTTACCATCAAAAAAATAAATTATGGTTTCTTTGCTTCCGCTCACTATTTTTTCTTTAAAAAAAACACATGATTTCTTGATCGTGTTCATTCATAATATAGCAGTTGTGTCATCTTACTTCAAATTCATCCTAAATCACTATTTTGTCTTCCTTCTCTACTACTAATTCTATACTCATCGATTTTCCCAAGAATGTCCACAATCCCCACAACTCTTTCATAAATCAATCTATTGAACCAAAAATTTTTATTTTTTTTTATTTTTTTTTCTTTCACAAATTAACTTTAGTTGATCCATAAATTTCAGAAAAAGAGGAAAGGTACCTCTGAGTCACTCTACAAAATTCTCATTATGACAAAAGTCAGATCCTCTCCAAGAAAAAAAAAAAGAGTTTTGACTTGTCATACACTAGTCTAACATTTACAAAAATTCCCGATATGGCAAAAGTTCATCTTCTCTCAAAAGAAGATTTTTGACTTGTCATACCACAATTTAACCAAGCAGCAAAACTTCAAGCAGTCCAAAACATGGCAAGAGTCACTCAAGGCAAAGGATCGATGGTGGTCTACAAATTTTTCAGTACTCCTGTTCTGAAGGATGAGAAAGCCGTCAACACAATCAAAGCAAACTAAGTTTTCAACCCCGACTCAGTTTGAGGGAGGATATTAAAGATAATCATCAAGTAGTGGAGTTAGGATCTATTTTAGTGATAGAATCTACTTTAGTGATAGAATTAATTTATTAATTATCACAAATAATTTTTATTATCACTAGTATTTTTTATCCAGTAGTGTAGACATGCTTATAAATATGGTATCTAGCCTTTATTTTGAAATCAGTCAATCACAATGTAGTTTCCAAAAAATATTTCCCTTCAGTTTCTTTCTCTTTATTTATTTTCATCAGTTTCTTATTTTTTTCTGTAAAGACAACAAACAACTATTTTCTGGACAATAAGCAACATTATTAACATTATTAGGTATTTAAACAATCACATACATGTATATATATATATATAATTAAAAACGAGATTTATAGAAATGAAATGATGTGGGCTTCAGCTCTTAGATAATTCACACTTACAAGATCCACTAAATGATGTGCTTATCCAATACATATTGGTGGGCTGAGTTATCCACAAACCTGATTCCATGGAAAAACTTGAAGACGGGTCAGAAAAGAATTGATCATAACGTGAAGACTTTTCCATACTATTGTACAAAGAGTATAGTGGAAATTGAGAATGCTTTCAGAGTCATAGATACTTTTTATATTTCTTTCATATCTTAGGAGTCTGAGTCGAGCTACAAAGGTTAGGACATTGTACGCTTAATCGCAAGATGGACGGTTTGATTCATATATCTGAAGCGGGAAAGTGCAGATTCAAATATAATTAATCATACTTACACAGAAATGAAAATAAAAATATAAATGAAAATCGGTCTAGCTGCCTATCTAACATTAACAAGTCTTCCTCTGTTCAGAAAGTGATTATTAAACAGCATTTCTAGCTCCATGGCTAGTTACACACAAATTTTGAAATTAATGAGAATACTTACACAAAGATACAAAATACTCCAAATTACAAACTTACTCCAAGCATGTGAAGAAGAAAACATGATGAAGTAAAATCCAACACAAATATAACTGAAAAAAAAAAACCCTTGTAGGGAGGTCAACCCTTTCTTATGCGGTGCCGTTGGACTCTGCCTTAGTCATCTCCCCCTTCGTTGGAGCGCCATTCGACTCTTCCTTAGTTGGATCTTCCTTTTCTTGATCCCCAGTGGCGCCCTTTTTCTTAGTTTGATCATTTGCGAGGAAATGTTTGAACCAAGAAGCCGAGAGTTTGGGCATTCTTTTCGAATTAAGGTCCTTGTAATCAATGTAGATGATGCCGAATCGAGAATCGTGACCTACTCCCAGTTCAAGATTGTCCATCAAAGACCACACAAAATATCCCTTCACATTCACATCTTCCCTACACATAGAGTCAAACATTTAATAATTAATCAATCGATTTGATTAACTTATATCTTCTTAATTTAATTTGATTGATATGGAGAGATCAAATTAAGTAAGTACTTTATGGCTTTCTGGACGGCGTCAAGGTGATCATGCAGGTACTGCACCCTGTCTGCGTCGTGAATCGCCGCAGGATCAGTCGGGGGACGATCCGGATCATCGAAACCTACAATATATATGGTTGAGTTAAATTCAATATCTAAATTTCTTTACTAATTAAATTAACAATCATATAATTTGATGATTATTATACCATTTTCGTGTATGTAAATCTCGGGATCTCCGTAGTTCTTTTTAATGTATCGCAAACACTCCAGCAGCCCTTGTGGATAATCATAAATCCATCCAGCGGCTCCCTGTAGCATATGTGTATCATGTTCCACTCGTAACACTACTAAATCGTTCTTAATGTTATGAGATGTCACACCTTCATTCTATCATTAGGCCCCTTCTGGGAGATTTAATCTCCTAACGTTTCACGTGAAATAAATCTAGAGCAACTAGTAAACAAACTCGGATGGTGTTTTCATATAGTCAAGAAAAATACACCTTGCTTTATTCAAGTCCAATAAGTGGAATGTAGCTACCTATTTTCAGGTTTAACTTCCAATTTAATGATCACTAACCTGTAAGTTACCAATGGGTACGCCATCCTTAGATCTCTCTGACAAAATTGATCAAAAGGGCATTAGTAAATGATATTTTTTAACTACAATAAGTCATTGATTGGTTGGTATTTGGAATTACTTACCATGAAACTCAACTCGGCGATCCAGAATGTAATCTCCTCCTCCAAGGTCTAGGTTAGAGACATACCGAGAGGTGTAGTAGATGAAAGAAACAAAATCGTATGTTCCTTTGACCATATCTTTATCAAGTTTAGGAAGGAAACCTTTGGTAGCGTACTTAACCATGTTTTCTGGATAACAACCACTATATACAGGTTCCATGACCCTGACATTATTACAAGGCCAAGTAAACTGCATTATTTTCCATAGAAAACCAAGTCCAAATAATTAAGTAGCTTCGGAGGGGGAAAGAAGGAAACATTAGTTAAATCCTCAAATTTGGTTATTGTGTGTAGTTGTTTATATTTGTGCCAAATTTATTGTTTACTAATAACAATTTGAGAAATTGGACAATTTGCCTAAAATCATGTCTTTATGGATTAGGGAGTTTTGATCACATGGTACTCACCATCCAACCATGAAATCCAATGCCCGTTGTGCAGCGTCTCTATCTTCCAGGGTATCCTCCAGCGGAATAAACCATTGTGCAACAATGTTGATACCAATTTTTCCTCCTTGAGTTTTCTATATAATCACCAAAAGAAAATTAAAAAAAAAAAAAAACAAATTGCTCTGAGCAATTTTTAAACCATGCGCAAATATCAGCTAAGACATAGTCCTTTCGTCCCATAATAAGAGTACGTATATATACCTGATAACATATATACCTGATACTTTTCTTTGTACAATTTGAATGCCTTTGCATGGGCGAGGATTTGGTAATGAACAGCTACGTAAGGCCATTGATCCTTTGGAGGTAGAACAACTCTTGATAGGGTATTTGGAAGAGAAGTACTATTTTTAGCAATAGCCGACAAGGATTTGTGTGAACATTGGTAGGGTGGGCAGATAGAACAAAATTGATGATCAAATGTCTTCCCTGATTTTGCCTCTGCCGCGGTTTGAAGGGCATCATAGTCCCTATCTGATCTAAACCCTGGTGGGATTGCACCCTCAATGTATCCTCCATATGCAACATACCAAGGTTCGTTTATAGTTGTCCAATACTTCACATAATCACCGAATTCCTCGAAGCAAATCTCTGCGTAGTCACAGAAATCATCCCTGCATGCCATGTGTATACGTTTCGATTATTATATTATATACTTTCTCTCTCCGTCTCATAAGAATAACAGTTCAGTTAGTATATTGTTAAATTGATTCTAATGAAAAAGCTCCCTTTTCAACTACTTTTTTTTTTCTTATAATAATAACTGTCCTAATTATATATAGCAAAAGATGTTATATATGGTTCAATTTTAGAATAAGAATATAAATGAAAACAGGTGATTATAAACAGCTCATGATGTTCATGTGTAGTAAGGTAGTGCCTCCAAATACATAAAAAAAAAAAATGTCTTGTCAACAGCGTACTATTTCTATGGCACGGATCACTTTGTTAATTAGTACGACTGCTACTAGTGAATATTATACTTACACAATTTCGGGTCTCAAGAAAGTATGATACTCGTCTTCCAAATCCTGGGGAGGATCGAAGTGCAAGAGAGTCACCATAGGTGTTATATCTGTTGGAAATAATAATTTGAATTAACAGCAGAAGTAAAATGCGTTGATACTTATCTAAGAGAAAGAATCATTAAAATTTATATTCTCTCTGTTCCAAAATCATTGTCTAGTATAGAATTTTTACTTTCAATACAATTTGAACTAAAATTAAAAATTTAAACTGGACAATAATTTCGGAACGAAGCGAGTATATATAGAAGTTAAGACTAGGTATCTAGTTTTGTTATTAATTAGCGTGTTGATTAAATTGATCAGTACCTGCTTGCTTGAGTTCCTCGAAAAGATCCTTGTAAAACTTGATGCCTGCCTCACTTTTGCTTTCTTTTTTCCCAGCTGATCCAAAATTAAGGTAAAAAGGAAATTTTTATTCATTACTAGTACCGGAAATCGTACAGAGTCAGCTTGTAGATTCAACAACATGGTACAATATTATTACATTCATCCGATATATAATTGGTTGATTTTTTTTATGGTTATATATTTCATTATCTCTCTGGATTGCATGCATGTGCGATTAGTATGTATTGTTAATCTGATAATCTCTCTTTACTAACTTGGCAGTATTCTTGACCACGAGATGGAGAATCGGTAACTATTAAATCCCATTTGCTTAATCAGATCCACATCGGCCTGCAATTTTTTTTTTAACAAAAAGGAAGCTGATTAGTCAGATTATTTGTGATTCTCCCCCCAATTTTTTCTTTTTTAAAAAAAGAATAGATGTAACAGTAAATATGTGTACGTACCTTGAAATGCTCGCGATGATTGATAGCATCTTCACCATATTGGTCAAACAGCCCTGCAATGCATTAAATTTCAACACAATTTAATCCTCCCTCCGTTCCAAAATAAGTATCATTCTATAGTTTGCACATAATTTAAGAAAACATTAAATAAGGTAACTAAATTACTAGAATATCCTCAACCAACCCCATTAAAATAAATGTTCACCAATAATATTATTTCTTTTGAAGGTATGTTTGAAAATTTTTGACAAAAAATGTATAGGAATCCGAAAACGACACTTATTTTGGAATTTCTCCATTTTGCCAAAACGACACTTATTTTGGAATGGAGGGAGTAGATTTTTCTACAACTTATATAGACTTGATTATATGTGTATGTATATCGTTGCGTTGGTATTATTATTCTTTGGTAGTGCCCTTAATTAAATGGTTCCTAGCTAGTAGCTAGTTATCATGCATGTAAGACAGTAAGAGCATCTCTTCTTTCGAGCATTTTTATTGGATTTGGTCCGGCCGCTCGTTTAGTTTTCCCCTCTAGTTAAATTTTTACAAGTAATTCATTCTTTCTCGCTCGGTACCGTTCTTGGTTTTTTTTTTTTTTTTTTCCCAAAAACAAGAATCACACTTTAAGAAATGTACGCGACACAAGGGAACGGAATCTGAGTGGTACGTACTATTTTTCTCAGCAAAGGTATCAAATATGTTTCTGCGTCTGCCATCTCTGCGATGGCCGCCTTCGATCTGAAAAAAAAAAAAGTTTCATTTTTTCAACAAATTAGGTTGATTAGAGTTCATACGTTCATTAAAACATAATTCAAGTGCATATTATAAATGCACAGTAATTAATTAACTAGGTAGTTTACCTGAAAAGAAGAGCTGGATGGACCAAAGTAAAAGTCATCCCCAAAATCTTTGCGGCTGTAATGACTTGGGAGTAATCCATGACCTAAAGCAGGGAACTCGAACTCTCTCATTATCTTTGGAGTAGCGGGCTTTCCTTGGGTATCCGCCATAACAAATATTATGAAATTTTTATTAATTTTGTTTCTTTGCTTTCTCTACTATTTGAATGTGCAAATTATATGGCAGCCCTGTGCCCTATTTATAGGCCCTATTTGCACTTCTCTTGTGGAATTAACTTCTCACGAATCAGCTACAGTTATAGCTACAGTGTGGGTCAGCTGTAAATTAGTTACTTTCTTGAATCATCCCGTAAAACAAAGTGAAATCGGACCAGCAAATGAACTATTAAAATAAGACCGGTGAAGCGGAAAAATAGATTCGCCATTCAGGGCGCAACAATTGTACACGTTTCCACCGTGACACAAAATGAAACAAATCAGTACCAAGCGAAAGTTTAGTATGTTTGTTTGCTTGCTGTTGCTGTATATGGCTTGTTGAATCCAAGGACCACATATCGTGAAGTTATTTTCCGACTAGTCAATTAGAGTGTACAATTATTCACGTGAATTTACAGAAACTCATATAATATGTTGGGTTATTTTCCTCCTTCATAGGATGATGACAATCGACAGACTGTATTTGTACCAGCTGGGCGTTCTAGATGATAGTTGCACTATCTCCATTTTCTTTACTATCCAAGGTTCAAAGAAACAATCCCGATTACTTCATATTCCAACAAAATAAATTTATCTTAAAAGTTTAACGTAAAAATTTTTTCTGACAAATATTTTATCACTTCCTTCCATATTTTTAGTTGGCCTAGAGCTTTCCACTTATCCTTGTTTTATTGGTTGTTGAGCTAGATCACACATGCAATAAAAGCCCCCATGCTATAACCAAATTTTCCCTTCGCCACCGAGATATTATCTGAATTTTCCTCTTCATCGTGATTAATTCCACGTGCATAGTACGAGGATGAATCTAGCTGTTGTGTGGTACTAAAAGTTTTAAAATGGAGTTGTGGGGGCGAATCCTAACATTTACACATGTTTTTTTAAATGTCCTGGGTCAGAAAATAATAATAATAATAAATAAGTAAATAAATAAAAAGCCAGGAAAGATGGAACTTGACACAAAACAACGTACGAGAGCACCTTGAAAGGCTGATTTTCGAGTCCGGACCCTATACTATAGACGTGTGGTGTTCACTATGTACAGTACATGACCTTTTTTTGTTACTTCAATTATTGGACGCATTTATTTGTACTTGGGCATATGGAGTTGCGAGAGACAAGTTATTTTTACCTCTAGCTCTAACGTGATGAATCAATAAATAATGTCATTCATCATTCAAATTCTAATCCCAAACTCGTTTCTTCCATGAGGTTAGAAAACTATTGTACAACCCATCAAGAAATATGCACTTCATTGGAGGGATTTACTCATGTTATTGACAATAGACTGCAAATTTAGACACAACAAAAAACAAAAAAACAAAAAAAAAACAAAAAATAAAAGAAAAAAAAAACATTGTACCTAAAAGACATTAGATGATAATAGTGGCATTCGTTGCTGCGAGATTGAACTACTTCCTCCATTCCAAAATAAGTGTTGTCTTACACTTTGCACATAATTTAAGAAACTCATAAATAGGGTAATAAAATTACTTGAATATCCTCAACCAACCCCATTATAAAATTGTCCACTAATAGCATCAACTCTTTTGAGGGTAATTTTGAAAACTTTTGACAAAAAGTACATTGAAATGTGAGAACGACACTTATTTTAGAATTTTTTTATTTTGCTAAAACGACACTTATTTTGGAACGGAGGGAGCACAAATTTGGGATCCAAATTATCATTTGAGAATGGTTTTTAGTAGTGATGTTAATTCCTGTGGTAGCAATTTGTGTTACTAAAAACTCTAGACCAATATGAAAATGAAAATGTTGACCATGTAGGCCCAAAATGTTACAGAAGGCCCAAATAATCACTGTTGACCATTTACTCTGTGTCTCTTTGATGCCTGGATAGTGCAGAGACTTTTCTACACAAATTTGATTTTGGGCTAGTGAAGTAGGTCCAATTAGTACCAGGCTTCCAGCGTAATTGAGCCAATTTTTGGAATCTCACAATCACAGGCCCATCGAAAACGTTTCTCTAGAGTCTAGAATATAAAACGAGTACACACAGTCACACACTAGTCGCCACTATTGTATACCGCCAGAAAAGAAAGAAAGACGAAACGGCAGCAGCACCACCAGAGTCACCGGAACGCAGAAACCGCCGTCGAGTCCGAAGAGATGTCGAAAAGAGGGAAGAAGAGAGAAGACGAGGACTTGGGTTCTGAGGACGAAGAACCAAAGCGGATGAAGAAATCTTCCAAGGCTGCTGCTGATGATTCCGACGATGCTGACGCTGACGACATTGTCGTCTGTGAGGTCGGAATGTTTATCATTTCTTCTCACGTTTTCGATTCCTCTCAGCAATTATTCTTATTCTTCTTTTTGGATTTTTGATTTTTTTTTTCTGTTTTCAGATATCGAAGAACCGTAGGGTTACGGTGAGGAACTGGCAGGGGAAGCTCGTGGTAGACATTCGCGAGTTCTATGTCAAAGATGGCAAGCAACTTCCGGGCAAAAAAGGTAACCTTTTTTTTTTATCCTGAATTTCTGCAGTAAAACCCTAGAATTGGCAAAGATATGTTAGAACATTTCGTTAGGCTTTTATGGTTTAATTGACTCCTCATTTCTGGTAGTTAAATTTATTGCAATCGGGAACAATTTGAAGTTTCTGTTATTTTTTGCCACTAAAAATAAATTAGGGTTCTACATTTTCATTTGGGCCTGCAGCAGTCGGCCTTTGTACCTTTTTGTATCAGTTGGTATGCTTTTATCATTTACCTATACTTAGCTTTTGGTCTTGTTTTATGTTTACTGCGGTATTATATGCCTTTTGTTGCCCCAATTTTTGAATACTTCAGGCCATGGCATTTAGAAAAGTTCTGTGCTTACTTCTTGGGTTCTCGGTTTTTTGTTGTAATGTACATTAGTGTTCAATTGTGATACATGATTAGTTGAACACAATATTTGATATGTTTTTCATTCTTGCCCAATGGTAGTGTGGAAACACTCTTTGAGGAAATGTTAAATGGTAATGTCATTGAAATGGTATGGAAATTGTGAAGAATGATGTTGCATTTGCTTTTTTAGAATCAACTTGACTTTTTGTTATTCTCTGTTTCAGGTATATCATTGACTATGGACCAGGTATGCTTTAATAGTTCTCCTCATCTGACCTTTTTGGTGTCCTTTTGATCTTTGTTCTAATTTTCCATGTACTCTTTACTCTTGATTGATGCTTTTTTCCTTTGATTCACAGTGGAATGTGCTTCGGAAGCATGTCGATGAAATCGACAAGGCAGTTGCTGGAATTAGTTGAATGAATGATCATGCTTTGGTGGATGTTAATATTAGTAGGTTTTGATCTCTAGATGAAATGGAAATGGGGAGCGACTACTGTACTCTGCTAGGCTTATGCTAACTAGTTAGCATTAGTTTAGTCTTTTGGATAGAGAGTATTCCTAACTTGGTCTCTACTTTCCTTGAACGTATGACTTATTTTATGTCTATATCGTATATGTTTGCCAAATTTTCTTTCTTTGTTTCTTATGTACTTTTGTTTGGTGCTGCGGTGTGCCTATTGTTGCTAGTCCATTTGTCATTTTTAATAGCGTAAGTGTACGTTGTTGTAAATGGGACGGATGGAGTACTTCATACACCTCCGGTTTCTAAATGAATACAAGACTACTATGGGATGTAGTGTGATAAAGATACTCCTGTTTCTAAACGAGTATATGACCACTTCTTTTTCTGGTTTATACTGATATTTTCACCGAAAAGTTTTGTGAGGTGGGTGTATTGAAGTTTCCCTCTCATTTTTCATTCTAAAAACGATGCTACTGTGTGATTTGCAATATGTCAAGTTACAAGAGCCATACAAGCTTCAATGGTATAAATCCAGCTGTGATCCATATTTTCTTACAATATTGATTCTGAGATCTGTAAGTGAAAGCAAACCAATAAGGCTTTGATGTACATGCCTGCAATGAACACTAATCTTAACCCTAGTTACCAAAGAAAAAAGAAACACTAATCTCAATAACCCTATCAGCTTTTTATAAAAAGAACCAATTGCTATTAGAATGATCTGGGATCTTACAAATCGATCTGCATTAGAAGTACATGAAAAGGAAATTCCCACATTTTACCGGAATACCTTTGCAGAATTCAACTACACAGATTTGCTACTTATTCTACTCTTGCACTTCTTCATTCTCCCCAAAATGAAAGAGATGCACTTTCTGAAGCCTCTTGGGTTTGATTTTGTCAGAAGAAGAAGTCCATCATCTTGTTTTACTGGAGCCTCAACTTCATCATCATCATCTTGCTTTTCAAGAGCCTCAATCATCCATTTGGGCGTGAAAAGATGTTTAGTTGAAACCCACTCAGACATTCCAAAAGGATTGATCTGAGAGTAGTTCTTCTTCTGTTTCTCCTCTAACCGGTTCAGCACATCCACATTGTGAATTTCAGACATGATTTTCAAGTTGTCCATGATAAAAGGATGATCCAATAACTCCAATGCAGACCACCTTTCTTCTGGACATCTCAACAAACACCTATTCAAGAAATCAACTCCATTGTCCGGAAAATTTTGCGGTAATCTATCAACAATAGTCCCATGTAATATCTCATTAATCAAATCCATCTCGTCTTCATAATCCCAGATAGATTCCCCAGTTATCATCTCAGCAACAACACACCCAAAAGACCATATATCTGTACTAGTCTCATGTAGCCCAGAAGCCACTGATTCTGGTGAAGCATAAAGCAGAGTTGTCCTGCTGAGACTTTCTGTTCCTCCACTTCCATCATCCGAATCCGAAACCCAAATCTCTTCTTCATTCTGTGAGATCCTTCTCGCACTCCCAAAATCTCCAATTTTAAGTTGGTTTAATCCATTACAGTCCAGAAACACAAGGATGTTAGCCGGTTTCAAGTCGCAATGGACAATCCCCTGAGAGTGAATCTGGGCAAGCCCTTTAAGCGACATGCTTGCATAATGTGCAATTTGGGTTTCCGGGATTCTTTGCCCTTTATTGAATCTGTCATTTATCAATTCATGAAGATTTCCTCCCTCTGCATATTCAAGGAGAAGACTGTAAACTGCCTGGTTATCTTCAATGCTGATATCATTCCCAAAACACCTAACGATGTTGGGAATCCCATTCAATTGGCGCAAGAATTTGCCTTCTTTTATTAGTACTGAAGATTGGGAATCAGAATGTGCAGTTTTCACGGCCACCTTAATTGATTGTGAAGAATCGCAGGCCAGGAAAACAGAGCCGAATGACCCTGTTCCTAATTCCTCTACTTTTTTCCAACCCTCCATTGTTGTTGGGTTCTCTGAAAACTGAAAAGCTTTTTCCTTCTTCATTTTAGGTTTTAGCCTAAGCTGCTTGGAAGAGAGAATCGCGAAAGAGAGAGCGAAAGAAACTATACGAATGAGAGGAGTTTCTGAAGAGAATGAAAGACAGCGTAAAACTTACTCTGCTTTTTATAGAGCGATGATGGATGGGAGTGGAAATTTGGAAAGTCGCCGAAGGCTCTTAAGTAAACTCAATTTTTTTGGAAATTACCTTAAACGTGTGTCCAGATTAATCTTTTAGTCCAAATCCTTTCAAACAAAGGAAAAAATAAAGAAGGTAAAAGCAATTAAATGAAGGATTTAGTCATTGTTGCCGGCTCCTATACAATATGCAAAAAATACATTATTTAACAAAAAATGAAGGCACTGTTTTTCTGTCCCAAAAGTAAAGGGAAAAGGATGAAAACAAGAAAAAGTTTGCTATATACTATATTTGCGTTATTCAAGAATTATTGTACATAATCTGTTTAGTACTCATCCTGCAATTAATAGAAACATGAAGAAACCATCCGCAGCATATTCCGAGGATAGAAAGATTTTGAAGCGAAGAAGAGAAAATATTGATTAGAAGAAGCAATCATGGACCGGGAAACTAGAGAAAATCCTGCCTCATGATTTGCTCATAGAGATTCTCAATAATCACAAGTTGTGAATTCTCAAAATTATACTGGAATCATCAACATCAACATCAACATCAACCTCAACCTCAACCAGGCTTATTAATCTGCGTCCCACAGAAAATAGAATCAAGACAAAAAGAAGTAAGGGAAACAATACCAACAATATGGGGACCATGGTCGGTTTCTTTTACTCCCCTATTTCATCTTGGAAGGGTAGAAGGATTCAGTTGCCTAAACCAATTGAAAACTGATAGTTCCTCTGCTCAAATGACCCAAATTGTGAAGGGTCTCTCGTGTGTTTGGAAAAGATCCAAACTTTTGAATCTATACAACGTTGTCACCGGAGAAAGGATGATGTTACCGAACATCGCAATCCTGATGAGAGGTCAAAGTTTTTATCTTGGGTATGATCCAGCGAGCAAAGTATACAAGTTGTTGAAACTGGTGATACCAAAAGGTAGGATAGAAGCGTGGATAATGACTTTAAGATCATCCAATTTGTCATCGCCATGGAGGAAGCTAAATGTAGATCGACTCTGTAATTCCTGGTGCTCCATCATGCTTCCTAACTGTAGCATCAACATTCTCATCATCAAGTAATGGGGTCTTGTAATATTGGTTCTACTTTCAACGTTTCTTACTATCTTTTGATGTCAAGACAGAGGTGTTTATATTTTCCGTCCTCCTAAATAGTTTATACTTTTTGTATTGGAAGACCAAGGCAGATGGAGTAAACATCTTATCAAATTGAGCCTAAAAAACTTGGAGATGATGATGATGATGATCCAATTCATCCCGTTGTGGTCGGAAATATACCTACCGGCGAGATACTACTGATGAATCATGTTGCTGTTGAACAGGGTCAAAAGAACGGCTACTACACGCCTGTTTATTCATACCATCATGGGAGCAGAAATGGTGGGCAGATTTCGGTTGGAAAACTTCCCATGATGATATGTAACGCAGGAGGAAACCTTAATTATCTCAATTGTCGCCATGAGGTTTTTCCCTTTGTGATTGTGTTCCGTGGTTTTATATTTGTAATGATAAAAGTTTTACTCCCCCTGTCTCAAAATTATTGTCCAGTTTGAGATTTCACTTTTAGTATAATTTGAACTAGAAATGAAAATCTAAACTGGACAATAATTATAGGACGGAGGGAGTACTATATATCACCTGCCACATTACCAAATTTTTGAATGATATGTTTGAATTACCAAAAAAAGAAAATTCGTTATGAACAAAATGAAGTTGTAAAAATAATAACAATGGGGAAGCACTAGCAATGACTGGTTTTCCCCAATGTTGTCCTACATATACCATGATTAATTGTTATATCTTCAATCATCATCTTCTTAATCCCCCGGCTTCCTCTTCATCATCAAGATCATCAGTGGTGGGAATGGAGATGGGCCAAAGTGGAAGCTCCCCAAAAAACACATACTCACATACGTAAAGGTGCGCGCGGACCAACTGGTTCACACTTTTTTGTCAATATATTGTATGACACCAATCCTATCTCAGACCCCAAATCCAAGTACATCACATTTGGTTCCAATGGATGACATGATACAACTTCTTTAATTCTTCTCTTTTCAGGGTGTAGATGACGATCAAAATCTACCATATCATCGATCTTGATCTTGATGCTGTGTTCAAGACTCCAGCTGTTGCAGTTCCCATATTTTTAAAGTTAAACCACATAAAGGATATTCATCACTTCATTGTCTAAAATACTTGAGCCGCCCCTGACAAACACCACGATTGGAATCAAAACCTACCCTTTTCGGATTAAAATCGTTGCATGGAAGTTCAATAAGTTGAAAGTGATTAGGGCTTTCGTAAGGATCATACGCTAGGATTCCACTATAAGCATTGCCTCCAAACCTCCTTTTGTCAAGCCACTCATTACTTACCCAATAAAGAGTGTTATTTAGCACAAGAGGCGTAAGGATCATTGTGATTGGACACTGAAGCTTCACTTTAATGTGTTCCCATCTTTTGGTTTCAGAAGACAATATATCCGCTTCAATGAACGTACCTTTAGATGTAGGATTAAGTAGTACGACTTTATAACTAGTCAAAATTTTCCGAGCTTCATCCACTTGGGTTATAAAACCAACACTTCGTTCGGTTAAAGAAGTGTTCGGAGGAGGATCAGGGAGACTGAACCACTGATGGGTTATAGCACTTGAGATGTAGAATGCACCATTGTACATCGGGTATTCCGCATAGGGTTCAGTTATTGTCACTAACCACCCGATCAAAAGAAACCCTTTGTGTATTGCCATGTTATAGAATGACCCTTTTGATCCTCTTGATTCTTCTCCTCCTTTTTCAAGAAAAGTACGAGGTAAAGTAGGAAAGTGACAACTTGGATAATTTACTCTAAGTCCACCTTCATCAACTTCTTCTTGGTCTCTTTTCAGATAAACAACGAGTTCACTACGGCTTGACGAGGGCTGTCTAGAGATGTACAAATTATGGAAAAAAAAAAAAGAATTGGAGATGAAAGAGAACCAATTTGTTGAGACACACTTGAACCTGAACATGGACTTCATCGGAAGTTTGCATAACAATTCAAACAAAAACCACTCCGGTAAATCGTCATGAAATTCGTCCCTGATGCTGCCGTCGCGGACGTCAGCCTTAGAGGCCGTTCATCTGATTCTTTTGATCTCCATGTTCAAAAGCAAATCGGAGGAACTCAACTCAAAGGGAGAATCGAAAATCCGTCAACCTTGAGGGTTAATTACCGATTACCAATGCTTCGAGTTTCCGGGATTTGTTTGAATCATAAGGAATTGATGACTAATTTTATTGGCAAAAAATTTGGTAGTCGGGGAAATTGGTAATGTGGCGTCATCTTTAAATACGTAGTTATATCAAGGATTTCAAACAAATTTTATATAACCAACATTAATATCGAGGACATTAACTTTTTATTATGCAACCATTTTTTTAAATATATATTATTTTCGGAAAAAGGAAAATTTCTATGATCCAGTCATAAGTTTTTGACTGAACCATCTAGTTTAAGTCCATCCAATAAAAATCTGACACATCATACCAAATCCATTTTGACCTCCTAAATAAGCAATTTACTAATTTATTTTTAATGAATTAATGAAATTAGATTAACATTGATAAGTGTTTGATTAAAAGAGGACTAATCTAATCATTTTTATGACAATCAGTTTCACAAATTTATATTTAGCAAATCAAAGATCTCCAAAATGTCAAACTTCATTCAGAGAATACGAGGACTTTGTGCTAAAGTATAGTAGCAAAAAAAAAAAATCATGATTCAAATCTCCTTCTGGAAACCCATTCTCCTGGGTCTTAAGTTGGCATCAATTGACATAGAATTCTGAAAGAAGTCCCAATAATTGGACGGACAATATTCGGGCTGGACTAAAAAGCACCCATCAAAGATCGATGGCCAGAATCTCTCCCAATCAGCATGTACAGGTTGTAAACCATCAAAATCTTGAAGCAGACGGGATAGAGGGGGCTAATAGTGGGTGAGGGATGCGGCACATAATTTAAGCAACCAGGCTAATTTAAAATGCACCGCGAAGGCAGTCGAATAGGATCTAGTATTGGATGAACTTGCTAAGAAGGGAAAATCAAGAAAGCAAATGGCTAAAAAATTGTATGATTATGTAATTGAAATCTTGCATATAAAGGCGTTCAAAATTACACAGAGCTAGTCGTACAAAAGAGAAGAAAACTACAATTCCCCCACAAGTTCATAGACAATCAGAAACACATTGAGACACCTTGATCTGTTTAGGTAATTAGGTCCAAGGCAAAATATGGCCATTAGTAATATAATTTTTATTCAGCGCTAGTGAAAACAACTTAATTAGTAAATAAATCGAAACTTTTGTATGGTTAGATTTTTAGTAATATTTTTGTCTTTGGAGGTGAGATTCGGGCCTAGCCTACGGCCGGCTACGGGTCAATATTTAAACATTCAAATTATTTTTTGGCACTCTTACAAAGAAGTGATCATGGTTCATTAGTAATTGCGCGAAATGACTAATGAGTAATGTAATCTATAAGCTGTTGTGGTCAATATCTTGGAACTATATAACAGGTGTATTAACTTTTTTAGTGCAGCCAAGATATAAGAAATTAATCTTAATTTTTTTGCCCCATCCCATATATTTTTTTCTCTCTCTCGTAAAACTAGCACCATTCCCTTTTATGTATAAATGTGTATGTGATGTACAGCGGTCTGCAGACCAATATATTATGGAAGAATCTATATTCACATAAATGAACAACAAAGTAAAATATATGTTCGCCCGGTATTCTCCTCAATTGGGTAAACAAGGAAACAAATAAAACCAAGCCAAATTTGGCTTTGGTTTTAGGAAACAAAACCCACTCCAATTGGGTTTTTGTTTTTAGGTTTTTTTTTTTTCTAAGCAAGGCTTTGGCATAATTTTTAGGTGTGTGTTTTCAGCCAAGAAGAGAAGAAAATTTTGGGCAGACGTGCATTGTTTTTGTACGAGAGAAAAAGAAAGAAAGCTAGGGTTTAGTTTTCGGTTTAGCTCTCTTTTGGTTAGATCCTTCCAGTCCTACTTTGTGATAGGTGTGTGTGGAAGAGTATTGTTGTAATCCACCTTTGGGTGAAGTCTTGTGTATCCACCGGTTGGTGAAGACTGTTTTTCCATTATTGTGATAGTGGAGATTTGATTGTTATTCTGATCCGTGGTTTTTCCCGATTTGGGTTTCCACGTAAATTCGTGTGCCTCCTTTATTTTATCAGTTCTTGAATTAGTTGCTTGTTTGGGTGGTTGTCCTATTTTATTAGTAGTAGAAAGGGAGATTTTCTTGAGGTTCGCTTCCGCAGTGTGTTGTGTTTATATCCTTTCCGCCACAACAGTGATATCAGAGCTACGGTTCGGTAGTTGAGGTATTACACCAATAAAATGGAAGAGTCATCGGGTACTGGTACGATGATTAAATTGACTTCATCCAATTATCATATGTGGAAGCCTAGAATGGAAGACTTGTTGTATTGCAAAGATTTCTTTGATCCTGTTCTAGGGGATGAAGGTAGGCCAAGTGATATGACAGATAAAAAGTGGGCTGATATGCACAGGAAGACTGTTGGTAATATTCGACAGTGGATTGATCAAAGTGTGTTTCATCACTTTTCGGGAGAAACAAAAGCTGATGAACTTTGGAAGAAAATCCAGAATATGTACTGGAAGAAGTCCGGCATCAATAAGTCATCTGCGCTGAAACAGATTACCAGGTTGAGGTACAAAGCGGGTGCTAGCATGAATGAGCACTTGAGTTTGTTTCAGGGTATGCTGAACCAAGCTGTGAATGTAGGTTTAAAGTTGGATGATGAGGTGCAGGCTTTGTTTTTGTTTAGTTCTCTTCCAGACAGTTGGGACACTTTGGTAGTGTCTATCAGTAATTCAACCCAGGATGGTGTCAGGACCTTGGATCAGGTCAAAGAGGCTTTGATGAATGAAGAAGTCAGAAGAGAAGAGCAGAGTATTGAGTCTGAGTCACAGGCTTTGGTGACAGAAAAGTCAGATAGAAGAGGGAGAAGTAAAAGCAAAGGGCTATGTGATCGGAATGACAAGTCCAGGGGACGGTCTAAATCCAAGAAAGATGTCGTGTGCTACCATTGTCAAGGGAATGGGCACTTTAAGAGGGGGTGCAGGGTTCTCAAGAGAGAACTAGTAGCGAGAAAAGGTAAAGGTAAGAAGGATGAATCAAGTGATGATGACACTACTACAGTAGTAACTACCAGTGATGTATTTGTGTACTGTGATGATGATACAATTAATGTTGCGAGTCACGACAGTGATTGGTTCGGTGATTCAGGTGCGTCTTATCATGTGACGCCTCACAGACACTTCTTTACCTCTTACACACCTAGAGATATTGGTCGTGTAAGAATGGGCAACCAAGCCTCATGCGATGCTGTCGGCATGGGAGAGGTATCATTGGTAACGAATACAGGTTGTACTCTTGTCTTGAAGAATGTCAGACATGTTCCGGATATGCGTCTGAACCTTATTTCCGTTGGTAAACTTGATGATGAGGGTTATCATAGCACTGTAGGTGGTGGCCATTGGACAATTACCAGAGGAAATCTTGTTATTGCTAGAGGAAAGAAGTTGAAGTCTTTGTATGTGTTAAATGCAAAGTTGAAGAATGGAGAGGTGAATGCGACTCACAATGCCTCCATTGATCTCTGGCACAGAAGGCTTGGACACATGAGTGTTAAGGGGTTGCAGATTATTGGTAAGAAGCAATTTCTCCCAGAGGTGAAAGATACTGCTCTAGAACCTTGTGTTGATTGCATCTATGGTAAACAACATAGGGTTTCTTTTCAAAATTCTCCTCCATCTAGAAAGTCCAGTCCTCTAGAGTAAGTTCATACAGATGTATGTTACATGAAAGATAGGTCGTTGGGTGGAGCATTGTACTTTGTTACTTTCATTGATGACTATGCTCGAAAGGTTTGGTGTTTTTCTTTGAAATCTAAAGACCAGGTATTAGATGTGTTCAAAGACTTTCACCTTAGAGTTGAAAGAGAGACTGGCAAGAAGTTGAAATGTGTTCGAACAGATAATGGTGGTGAGTACAGGGGTCCGTTTGAGAAGTATTGCCGAGACCATGGCATTAAACTTGAAGAGTGTTCGAAGACTCCGCGAGAATGGCGTGGCAGAAAGAATGAACAGAACTATTACCGAAAAGGTTAGGTGTATGCTCTCGAATGCAAAGCTGCCTAAATCTTTTTGGGGTGAAGCCATGCAGATAGCAGTTGATTTGATCAACCTATCTCCATCAGTTCCGTTGGATGGTGATCTACCACAACAAGTTTGTACAGGGAAAGATGTCTCATTTAGGCATTTGCGAGTTTTTGGTTGTCGTGCCTTTGTTCATATTCCCAAAGATGAAAGGCCAAAACTTGATGGCAAATCTAAGCAGTGTGTATTCTTTGGGTATGGAAATGATGATTTTGGGTACAGACTTTGGGATCCTGTAGAGAAGAAAGTTTTCAGAAGCAGAGATGTGATCTTCTTTGAAGACCAGACCATTGATGATATGGGAAAAGGCGAGATGCCAGAATCTTCACCTGAGATTCCTGTTGATCTAGATCCAGTTCCTCCACAATCAGATGATTCTCCTGAAGGGGGAGCTGAGACAGAGCAGGATGGTGAGTTTGATGATGATCCTACTAATGAAACAGAGACACCACCGGTTTCATCACCTCCTGTTCAGCCTCAGAGGTCTACCAGAGACAAGAGACCTTCCACCAGGTACAGTGCTCATGAGTATTTGTTGCTTATTGATGGGGGAGAGCCAGAGTCGTATGAAGAGGTTCTTAGTCATAAGCAGAAAGATCAGTGGTTAGCAGCCATGCAAGATGAGATCAAATCCTTGCATGAGAATAATACGTATGACCTGGTGAAGTTGCCTAAGGGCAAGAGAGCACTCAAGAATAAATGGGTGTTTAGACTAAAAACAAGTGAGAACAGCTCACAACCGAGGTACAAAGCCAGATTGGTTGTGAAGGGATTCAATCAGAGAAA